ACCCCTCATCGGGAATCTCCTAGATCTTCCTCCCACTGGTGGACAAGATTGGGTGCATTGGTTCAAGTTCAAGGAGCTATACGGTGAGCAGCCTCAAGATGAACGTCGTGAGAAACAACTAACAATCTGCGCAGGTCCTATCAGCTCAGTTCAAGTTCTTGGCGAGACATTCATTATCATCAATGATGCGCAGATCGCAGTGGATCTGCTGGAAAAGCGCTCAGCCATACACTCCAGCCGGCCACAGGGACAATTCAACCATTTGTAAGCCTACAACCTACAATGTAATACAAGAGAAAAAGGCTAACAGACGATGCAGATCCGGCTACAACGAAGTGACCAGCGCAATGGCGTACACAGACACCCTGCGTATCCATAGAAAGCTGTTCCACAAGCAGATTGGGTCTGTGAACTCTGTTGCTCGCTACAATAACTTCCAGGAGGCCGAAGTCGGGCGGTTCATGCTGCGATCGCTCGAAGCACCACAAGACTTGATTCCTCATATCCGAAAGTAGGTCGAGCCTGGAATTTTCTACACGTTAGGGAGTGCGAGAGATGGACTGACAAAACTAGACTGGCTGGAGGTGTGATCCTGAAAGTCGCGTATGGATACAACATAGAACGAGACGGAGAGGACCCGCTCGTCGAGATCGCAAATGATAGCGTGGAGAAGTTTGTCCGATCCATCACACCTGGCATGTGGCTAGTTGACTTCATCCCGGCTCGTACGTACTTTCGCATCTTCCAATGGCGCGACTTCTGACATGGCATGTAATAGTGAAACACATACCTTCCTGTTTCCCCGGGGGTGGATTTCAGCAGGCAGTGAAAGAATTTCGCGTGGCTGCGGACAATCTGAGTGCCAAGCCATATGCATTTGTTCTCGACCAGATGTCACGCAACGCTCACGCGCCGTCTTTCCTATCCGGGCTGTTTGAGAAGAACGGTATCCCCGAGCCTGGGAGCGAGCAGGAGACGACTTTCAAATGGACGGCAGCGACATTATATGGAGGAGGAGCTGACACGGTAAGGACTCGTCGAATTTTAGCGAAAAGGGGCAATAACTGAAGTTCGATAGACTGTATCCACACTGACAAGCTTCTTTCTCGCACTGGCCTTGTTTCCAGAAGTACAAAAGAAGGCACAAGAGGAGATAGATCGGGTAGTGGGCACATCTCGTCTTCCCGGATTTGCTGATCGCGAGAATCTCCCATACATCGAAGCTGTTGTTAAAGAAGCCTTCCGATGGCACCCAGTTGTGCCAATGGGCGTTGTGCATCAGTCAATGGAGGAGGATACATGGGGTGGATATCATATTCCCAAAGGGTCTCAGATCTTGTCTAACATCTGGTGAGTTGTCGTTCGGCCTTCTTGATCATTCTTGATTCTGATAAACGCAGGGCTTTCTTGCACGACCCAGCCACATATCCCGAGCCAGGCAATTTTAAGCCTGAGCGCTTTCTCGCGAGTGCTAACCACACTCCGGAGCGTAATCCGCATTTCCTAGCTTTTGGATTTGGCCGACGCGTGTGTCCTGGCCGGACTATTGCAGATGCAACCGCTTATTTGACAATAGCGCAGTCTCTGGCGGTTTTCAATTTCAGCAAGCCCATCAAAGACGGTGATGAGGTTGACTTGAAGCCGCAATTTCTGCCTGGGGTGATCAGCCATCCGGCGCCGTACGAGATCAGCATCAAGCCCAGAAGCGAGCAGCATGAGGCGCTCATCCGGGCGGTGGAGGTGATTTATCCGTGGGAGAAGAGTCATGCAGAGGAGTTGCATCGCGTAGTCTCATAGTAGGGAGGGATGAAGTGATGCACGGATATTTAAAGGGAGTCTCGCGTCATTATCACCATACGACGTAACCAACAACGTCACTTTGACTAAAGTCTAAGAGTCCTGTGACTCAAATTGGATAGGGACATATTTTTTTTTGGTTGATTTTCACACGTCTGCTTTGCGCAACCTCTCTCTCTGTTTATAGTCTGTAGACCAAGTTTGATAAAAGAACGTACTAATATTAGGGGAACTTCTGTATCTTCAAACTCATCCCACCCCCCGAAAAAGGAAAGAACCCATCATTCCAACTCCAAACCATCACCAGAACAATACGACACCCTACCTTGCAAACTTTACCCAAGATCCCAAAAGGCAGCCTACAAGGGATGTCCATGTCATCTCTATTCTCAAGCTGCTTCCCCGCTTTCCTCAGACCTCCCGATGGACCGAATCATCTCAGCTATCCTCCCATCGACCCTTTCGGCCCTCCTCCGGGCAGTATGAGCCAAGGAGCTCCCACTAGCACCATCACCGCCTCAACATCCTCTTCCATCACCAGCAACCTCATCTCCTCCGCAACAGCAACAGAAACAGCCCGATCCGATGATCCTGAATCTGACCCCTACCACCCCAAACTCCCCATCCTCGAGCCCCCGCTCACCGACCCCTGGAAAGACATCTCGCTCCCTCCCTCGCTGGCCGCGGAAAACATCATGACGAGAATGTATGGTGCTTTGGGCGCGGAGTGGCTACCACAGCAGCAACCGCAGCCGCATCCGCTAGCGCAGACGCAGACGCAGACGCAGACGCAAACGCAGTACCTCACGCGGGAGGTGCAGATCCAGAGTCAACAGCATCAGCCGCATCAGCAGCAGCAGCAGCAGCAGCAGCATTACTGGTATGAGCCGCCGCGCGCGCATTCGTTGGTGCAGTTATGGCCTCCGGGGGGCTTGGATCAACCGCAGCCGCAGCCGCAGCAGCAGCAGCCGCAGCCGCAGCGGGAGGTAGATGGTCACGGTCACGGTCACGGCCACAGCCACAGCCACGGGCACCACCACTACCATTATCGTCATCATCATCACCAGCATGAGCATGAGCGTGAGCGTGCACTACATACGCCTTACGATTATCTGCAGGCTGTTGGGTTTGGGTTTGAGACTGGGAATGGGTCTGGGTCGGCGGCGGCGGGGGGTGGTGGTGGTGGTGGTGATTCTGGGCGTGGGGGACGGTATTGTCTTCGGTGTTGTGGGATGGTTTGAGTCTGATCATCTGATGGGAATGTGGGTTATGGCGGTGTGGAGGTTGGGTTTCCTTGGGTTGCGGTTGGGAGTAGAGGATGGGTTTGAGGTTTGGCGGAGAGGGTGCTGGGGCTGGGGCTGGGGCTGGGCTGTGGTATGGGGTCTGCCTGGATAGTGGGGAGTGCTTGAGCTTAGCATGGGGATGGAGTTGTTAGATGTTGCCTTTTGTGAGGGCTTTTGTGAGGAGTTTTACTGGGTGTTGTTGTGGGAGGAGTGGTTTGTCTTATGGGAATTGTTCGGGGTGTCTGTGATACGGTCTTCTGAAGGTGCTAGGTGCTAGGTGCCAGGAATGGAAATGGAAACGTGATTTCTGCAGAGAGAATCAATCGTGGATTGGTTGCATAGTATCAGGCCATGCTGTTGGTGCTAAATACATGATGTTGAGACTGGAGTGTAGGTAAGATTATAGTCCGTCGGCCAGCGAGGATAGTCCGCATTCACGAGGTGTTTATCTTGCTAATGGCAAGGAAGGTATTAAGTGTTGTAAGTCTTTGTGTGAAATGGTAGTTGCAGCCAGCTGCTCGTGAGGAAGACGGAGCGTCCAAACCGCTGCGATAGCGGGCAGAGGATCAGGTCAAGGCGAACGAAATAGAGCCGTAGGTCGAATGTCAACCCGCGAGGAGAAGCAGCCTAGCCAAGCCCATCAGTCCCGTATACAAGCTGCAAGACTAGATCGGAGCCCACATACCTTCCACACAGATGCCACAGCAAGTTTAGAACCAGGAAGACCAACCCAGTCATAAACACTAGTTACAAGCGAGTATTAGTCCCTGTAACCGCTCTCCTCTCTGAGATCTGCAAAACTTACCTTCATACCCCCAAGACCGCGCTCTCTGCAACCGTCCCCGCTTCTTCAGCCATGTCGGAACCAGATCCTTCTGACAGGTCTCCCCGTCGATGACGAAGCAGCCCCCGGGGGACCGCAGGCACTCGAGGTGCCGGCGCCTGCGCTCCATGATCCGGCGCACCCGCGCATTGCAGAACGACTCGTCCGTGCGGAACGAGCACTTGTCCATCGGACACTCCAGCTTGCGCTCGAAGCGCTCCACCAGCCAGTTGACCTTGAGGTGGACACCTGTGTAGACCAGCGGGTAGAAGTGGCGGCAGCTGTGCTTCAGGGCTAGCGCGTCTGGGTACGGGAGGTAGGTTGCGATGTGGAGGTGGAGCTCGGTGGGGAGGTCCATGAGGGTGTATGATTTATCGGGCTGGGGGTCTGGGCTGTGCGATTCTGTGGCCATGGTGGATTGCTTTTCCTTGTGGATGTTGGCACAGAGTATGATGCTGGGATTCTGAAGAGTACACAATCGCTATCTGCGCAGGTGGGTAGTTGATGGGTTGTGGAATGGTAGTTGCGTGTCACGTTTGTAGGGTCAAGCCGTGCTGCTACCATGTACGAATGCCAATTATCTCTTATGGGTGGCTTGTGGTCACGTTTGCTGCCTGGAAGTGGGAACACGAAGAAATGACCTGTACGGTGTCGCTGATACGAGCGAAGGGTAGGCAACAGGGGTAAACGGTCCGGAGTAGGATGTCTCAACTATTTTGAGCAATGGGGGACACGAAAGGTGTCTTAAGCGGCTTCTTAGGCACGGAAGAGCAAGTAAGTTAACGCAAAACGAGCGATCTTGGAAGTCTTGCTTAGGTCCCCAGCATGGCACGTCAGTGAGTAGACATGAAGGTGGTTAAACGTTAAATGCAAGCAAGCATCAGGCTACTATCTCGCGCGCTCCCCCCGCCTCCTATCGATAGCGAAGGTGGAGAGGCTAATCGATAAGTGAGGCTGAGCTTGAGTCCTGAGCAGTGAGGCAGCAACAAACAAACAGACCAAACACACCAAACACACCAAACAAGCTTCGTCCCCCACATAAGACCTCTTGTCCACCGCCTACCACTTCCGATATGCGAGCATCATTTGCCTCAGCAACTATCTACCTCTTACGATAACTACAACTCACGACTTCTCTCTCCACAAACCCCAGCAACTCAACCCCGCCTCACAAACCAACTACACACAACCCACACCACCTAAAACCCCCCACCACACGCCTCAACCCCCTCAAAACTACACAGCCTGCAACAAAAAATGAGCAACAAAGACTCCGCCTACGGCGGCGCGCCCGCCTCGGACACCGCCTTCCGCAAGACCTGGGACCGGGACGAGTACGCGAAGAAGGCGGCGGCGGAGGAGACGCGGCGCAAGGAGGAGGCCAAGGCGCGGTACGAGGCGAAGCTGCTGGGCAAGAAATGGCACGCGCCGGTGGACTACAGCACGCTGGAGGCGACGACGTCGCGCACGCAGCGGCTGGACGTGGCCTCGATGGTCGGCAAGACGACGATGGTGGCGGCGGGGGCGGCGGTCGGGAAGCGCGGCCGCGGCGCGGGCTTCTACTGCGCCGACTGCGACCTCACCTTCAAGGATAACCTGCAGCTCGTCGAGCATCTGAACAGCAAGCAGCATCTGCTGGCGACGGGCCAGAGCGGGGAGGTCGCCGTCGCGACGGTGGAGGATGTGCGGCTGCGGCTGCGCATGCTGGCGCACCGGAGGCGGGAGCGCGAGGAGGAGGAGCGGCGCGCCTGGCAGCTGGATCTCGGGGAGCGGCTGAAGGAGCGCGAGGAGCTGGATGCCAAGGAGCGCGAGGAGAAGCGGAGGAAGCGGAATGAGAAGCGGCGCAAGGGGGCCGAGAATGGCGTCAAGCAGGAGGAGGAGAGCTGGGAGGGTCGATTGGGGATCATTGCATAAATGGACTACGGAAAAGCACATAAGGGCGGGGAGGATGTCTGGTTCCTTGTTGGCCTTGTTGGCAAGGATAGGAAGATAGATTCGGCGGCTCATGCTGCTTAAAAGCTCAAGTATACCCACGGCGTTTCGGTTCTCAGGTTCTTACGGCTCTGTATCTTTCTATGAAATTGATTTCCTTTATCCAGGCGCATGTATAAAATCATTGACAATATCCATATCAGAAAACAACTCAAGCATAATCATGTACCGACCGCATTCCTATTTGCCAATATTGCTGAGAGATTATCCCAGAAGCAGAAAGAAAATAAAACCGATTATCCAATGCCCTTCGCCCGACCCAAAGACTCCTAACCGATGATACCCATGAACCCTCAATCCATACACTCGATACCTTCCAATACGCGCATCGCCCGAGCGCCTTCCTTCTCGAATTGGCTAACCAAGCGCTCGCATTCGCGTTTGAGTCTCTCCTCGCCGTTCTTTGCATTCCACCTGATCCATTCTTCAACAGTCATCCTCTTCTCCTGGCTACTCAATTCGCCCTTGGTGCTGTTCAGGATATCGGAGAAATCGATGTTCTCCTTGTCGCTCGTGCCCGCCAGAATGATAGAATCGATATCCACTGGGGTCCAGGGGTGCGTACTGTTGAGAGACCCGGTGTTTGCAGCCCGCTTAGACGGCGATGGCGTACTGGCTGCAAATGGGATCCGAGCTGACTGATGTTTGGAAGGGGAAGGGACAAGCAGTCGAGACGTGGGGGGTTTCAGCGTCGGCTTCAAGGAGGGAGGCTGATTTTCCGCATCAGACGATTGCGGCGATAGCGAAGGACTGGTCTTGGACGGCGAGGGCAATGGCGAGACCGTTTCTTGCTCTTGTTCGTCTTCATCGTCTGGATCGGCATTTCCTGAGATCGAGCGACCACCTGAGTTCCGAGACTCGACAAGTGATGTCGCATACTGCTTCTCTTTAGGAATGTCGCTGTATCTCTCAACAGTCTTTGGAGGTACTCGGGATGATCTGCGTCTAGCGGTTTGCTGCACAGGTGTCTGCACCTGTGGTTCTTGCTCGCTCGGTCCCAACAGCGTCTGGCCATCCATGTCAAGAACCGTCTCTTCAATCTCGGAGGCAGCACGATCTTCTGGTACAGCATCGGTGGGCTCTTCTGCAGATTTCCTAGACTTCTTCTCCTTTTCGGTGGACTCCTTCCTTTTGAGCTTCCTCTTCCCATTCTTCTCCTTGACCTCTGCTTCGGGTTCCCTGCTTGGCGCCCTAGTCGTGATTTCCACAGACACAAACGACTCGTGCCTTTTTGTTTCAACTTGCTCGCGGCTGGGAGCAGTGGTCTCTGGAAGCTGGTCTTCTACTAATTCGCTCTGAGTCACTTCTTCTAAGGGTTCATTTTTGACAGTAGTCGAGTTTCTCGCGCTTTGTCGCTTGCTTGAACGCCTTGTTTGTCGTGGCTCTTGCACTGGTGGCTGAGGCTCTGGTGACTGGTGTGGCTCTAGTTCGTCAACCGGCTGAGGCTCAATCTCCACGCTGTGCTCTTCTGTGTCATTTAATGCCTCTGGAGCCTGTTCGATTTTCTTTTTGGACTTCGACTTTCTCGATGGCTTCGGTGCCGGCTCTTCGCTAGGCTCCTTGACGCTAGCCCTTTCTAGCTCCATATCATTTTCAACCACTGCTTCAGGCTCCGGATCTTGAGGCGCCTCGGGCGAAGCTGGAGCCTTAGTTGTAGATGAATCATCCGTGACATTTCGGCTTTTGGAAGCAGTCTTCTTCTTGCTCGTACCGCGGCTCTTCTTTGGTTTCGCTTCCTGAATTTCTTCCATGGGCACTTCCTCTGTTACTGCCTCGGGCTGGTCCTCGTGTTGCGGTTGCTGGGCACTAACGCGCGTTTTAGTCGCCCGTTTCTTGGATGGAGGTTCGGGTTTCTCGTCGGTCTCTGCATCCAGATTCGTATCATCCTTGGCTATATCCTCGCTTGTCCTCTTCTTGCCTCTGGAACGTTTCGCTTTCGGAGGTTCTGGCTGAGTCTGATATGTACTGTCCACGTCCATCTGGCTGCCTGCCTCGACCTGCTCATCCTTCTTCTTGCTTCTGGACTTGGACTTGGTTGACTTCTTCGACGACTTCGATTTCGTGGTTGATTGCGACATAGTGCTTTGGTCCATTGGGTCGTCAACTTCCGGCATGGGTGCCTCTGAAACAGTGGATTGGGTCGAGAGACGGGCCGCCTTGGAGACGCGACCTTTCTTCGAGCGGGAATTCTTCCCTTTCTTTGTGGTAGGAGGCTGAGCGAAAACGAAGAAAGAGCAGTCTGAGGACCGTCGGTAATGCTCGTCGCTTTTAGGCCAAGGGGTCAGTCACGTTCAAGACAGAAAGAGCGACAGAGACATACAAGGGGTCATCTTTTGGCTCCCAGCCATCGAGCGACAATTTACAGTACGCACAAGTGGCCAGGTCGTTGCTCTCTTCGTTTGGGCAAAAATACCATCCGCCTTCAACCATCTATTCAACAGCAATGGTCAGAAATGTTGGTAAAAAGGTTGTGTTACAGTCGCCTTGCTCGGATTCTCAATCTCACCTTGTCCGATTGACAAGTCCAGCCGCGCTTTCCATCGTGAGGCCATGCTTCGCCAAAGGTAGCCTGTCTCGCCTGTACAATGCGCTCGCTAGTCGGGTCTTCGATCTCGGCGGGGTTGGAGCTGTGCTGTTGAATGTCCATCATTACAGCCCATCCACAGTCCGGAGCATGTTTCAAATGTTCCGTGATCGGGTTGTCCTCTTCCTCCCATCCATCTAGTGCTCTGCGGCACAGGAAACATATCGTGTTGTCTGGATTCGTTTCGTAGGGGTGGTAGAAGAATCCTGCATGCGCAAGCTATGAGAAGCGCAGGTCAGCAATCGAGTTGCTGCAGGGGAACATTGTTGAAATACCTCCGCCGGTGAAGGCCTACTGTGAGGCCAAGCGATAGGCTCTGCGGGCGTGATTGATGACCTCCGTCCCCCAGGGTACAAGACCCGGTCGAAACTAGCGAGACGAGCGGCAAATGTCTCCATTTCCTGGGCCATGGCTGAGAATAATTATGACATTGAGACTGACCGTCATGCAGTGTTGTAAAAGTGCGATACTCAACAAGCGCCCTCTTGTTTACAGCCTTGTTTGGGTCGGCGGGAACGCGCCGCGGAGAAGCGCAGCCACGTGATTCCGATCTAAGCTTGTGGCTGATGCTACCTAGTTGGGATTGTGGCTAGTGACCTCCCGCCGCCGAAGTCGGGCAGTTTCCTCATCCGGAGCCCAAACTGTAGTGCCGCCGTGAGTGGAAAGGGCCGAGAACATCAGCCGAAGGGAAGCCCGGAGTACGTCAGACAGCAGTCCCTCTCCTCCTTCTTCCACCCCCCCCCGTCCGTCCGTCCGCAATTTGTCGTCGGCTTTCGATTATTGAAGTGTTATTGTTGTTGCCCGCCTTATATACCTTTTCTTTCCACTTGTCACTTGTCTTCCCCACTTCCTTATATTACCCTCTCACTCAGTTACCTGACCTCATCCTCCATTTCTTCACCCGTCTTCGACCATGGTTTGAGATCTTAACTCTGATGCTCCTTAAATTGTGCGACACTTACAGCCATCGCTGTGCTCTTTCCACCCCTTGCCGGGAATCGCGACAATGCGCGCTACTGTAAGCACTGTCTGATTGACAAGCAACTGAGGAATCCAGCGTGGATGTCTAATCATCCGCCCCTAGACTCTCTTTCTGAACAACGGTTCAGGCTCCTACGTGCGCCTGCGCTCAACCAGCCCGGCAATTCCGGGTTCCCTCCGTCCCTTCTCCAATGATTCCCACCCAACACTTTCTCCCAGCAGTGTTCCATCGCCCTATAGCCGATGCGCCCCTCGGAGGAGTAATGGGCAATACACAAATACCACTGACAATGGGCTCTTGCTACCTTCGTCGGCTGCCTCGTTCTCTACCTCGTCACAGCGACACGACCCCGGCGACTGGGATATCAACCCAAACCTAGCCATTTCAGACTTTGCTGAGCTGCCGTCCAGAGATTTTGGTGTCAATCAACATATGATCATCAATCAGGAATTCAAGGAAGCTTTGCGACAGATCCTGTGGCAGTTCCGGGCTCCTATTCGATATGCATTTGCCTACGGATCGGGCGTCTTTCAGCAGACAGGAAGCGCTCCTGGCTCCGGCAAGTGCCATCCGTCAGCCCCAGCAGCTATCAAGAACATGCAACAGGGCAATGGCAAGATGATCGATTTCATTTTTGGCGTATCATATTCACAGCATTGGCACTCGTTGAATTTGGCTCAACACCGGGATCACTATTCTGGACTGGGCTCCTTGGGCTCGTATGCAGTGTCGCAGGTGCAAGACCGATTTGGAGCGGGTGTTTACTTCAACCCCTTCGTTACGGTCAATGGCACTTTGATCAAGTACGGTGTGGTCAACATTGACACACTTTGCCGGGATCTGAGCCAGTGGGACACACTATACATCGCTGGCCGCTTACAGAAGCCTGTCAAGATTCTGCGCGACCACCCGAAGGTGCGACTAGCAAACCAAATGAACTTGCTGTCTGCGGTCCGGGTGGCTCTTCTGTTGTTGCCCGCCGAATTCACCGAGTTCCAATTGTACAGCACCATCGCAGGAATTAGCTATATGGGAGACCTTCGCATGTCACTGCCGGCAGAGGATCCTCGCAAGGTCAACAATATTGTTTCTTCGCAAATGGCCAACTTTAGACGGCTCTATGCCCCCCTCATTGAAAACCTCCCCAATGTGACGTTCAATGATCCCCGGTGTACCCAGGAAGACTGGATTGACGACCCGGAGACGAATGTACGGCTCACTCAGGATATGGACCCTGTCAAGCGTGGCAACATGGTTCGCCGTCTCCCCGATGCCTTCCGTGAGAAGCTTTATTTCCAGTTCCAGTCACTATATCAGATCCCGCGAGCGGAATTCAACACAATGATGAAGGAGCATAACGACACTGATGAAAACTTGCGCCGGAGACAGGGCGGTCCGTTTGAGCAGCGCATTGCCGCTGATAAAGAGCTTCCGGAGAAAGTGCAGGCTGCAATCAGCAAGACGATCCGTTGGCCAAGTACCGTTCAGTCGATAAAGGGCCTGTTTACTTCCGGGTTCAGCCGGACCATGCATTACCTATGGGAGAAGATAGAAAAGTACCGCAAGTCGGGCAAAAAGA